TCCTACCCGAGGGTCCCGCTGTGTGCTTTCCCAGAGGGGAGCATCCAGGGGCTTTTCTGGAATACCCGATGGGACTCTCATTCTCCCTTTCCAGCCTATGACCTGGTGCCAGCATGACTAGGCAAGGCCTTATGGGCAGGAGTGAGTAGAGCTGATGCCTGCTACCCTTGAGAAAGTGTCTTCCCTGCTTTTCTCACGGTCCTCCAAGCCTGGCATACTAAGGAAGTCCATGGTCACAAGCGCATGATCAACCTGACCGTCAAGCTCTGAAACACTGAGTTCCTCAGTAAAGCACGTTTGGGTAGGGCCTGCAGCAGGCATAGAGCACTAGGCTCTGGGGGCACAGGGATAGTGCCCTAGTGCTATTATGCCCTCAGTGCAAGGTTCATTCAGCTCTAAATCCCATTCTTTGAACTCTGCCCAAGTTCCAATACAGGCTAGCAGCTGTCCCCCATGTTTTACAGATGGGGACACTAAGAGCTAAGGGCAGTAATGACTTGCCAGGGTATTGAAATGGGTCTGCTAGAGCTGACTCTGGCCTTCTGGACAAACAAAGATGTGGGTACATGGATTGGTGAAGTATGTTCCACTGAGAGCTCTTCAGGGAGATGAGGCACTCGTTGTGGACCGAGCCCCTTCCTCTGTACACCCTCTTCATCTCTCCAAATTGAAGCCTTTGAATTTGACTAAGCTGGGCCAAGGCCCAGCCCAATTCCAAGGCGCCTGTTTCTCACCCCATGCCTGTATTTCATGGCCTTAAGGTCTCAGCCTCCACCATGGGCTCCTGACAAATCTCAACTCTCTCCCTGCTGCCCAGGGTCCCTAGCAGGCAGATGTATGGGGACTGTGATCCTGCTGGGGCAGCTAATACTCAGGCAATGGCCAAGCAGGGGTTGGGGCCTTTGGCTCAGGTATGAGGCCAGAACTCTGGCCGCCTTGGGGCTGGCCTAGTCAGGCCCCAGGAGAGCTTGGGAAGACCAAAGCGCAGAGCTACACTGGGACCTCAGAGTGCTGGCCTGCCAAGGATGACAGGCAGCAGGACTGCTCAGTAAGAGAGACATGGACAACAAAGACTTCCCTGTGGAGTCTGAGCACTGCCCAAAGCCTCCACCCTCTACCAAAACCTAGAGCCAAAGCCCAGGGGGAAGCTTCTTTAGAGGCTGTAGATCAGGTTGGTTTGAAACGGGAGTTTTCAATAAGGACTCCAGCAGATCTGTAAACTCTGAGCAACACGTAAAGATGGAGGGAAAACCTAAAGCCCTTTCTGATGATGGGATTGAATTCTGTTTTGGGGGAACGATGAGCAATTAACGAGCAGTCGGAGGGTCTGGGAGACTTCTCAGAGGTGGCGACACCACAGCAGCAGCTTCATCCTGAGCGGCTATTTCCCAGGTAGAGAAAGTAGGAGCAGGAAGAGTGCGTGCCAGGCCTGGAACAAAGCCTATTTCTGGGTGCTGCCCTCCCACAGCTCCATATCAACGAGACCAGCCTAAGTGGCCACATATGAATCCTGCAGCTCACTGGAACAGAGTGGGAACTTGTAACCTACGAGTGATTAGGAAAAAAAAAAATTGCAGTGGCAGTTGATTCTCTCTTGGGAACTTGAACATGGGGAAAATGGATCCATTCATTGTGAGGAGTTAAGGGGGAAGGAGGTGACATTAGCAGTACACAATGAGCATGTGTAAGAAGCACACGTTTGAAGGAACCCGGTTGATTGTTAGAGAACAAATGTCTAGATGGGTGGCCCAAGACAGGCGCAGACAGGCTGCCTGTTTCTTGATGCAAACTTCCTACTGCTTGCTGTCAGTGGAGTGCAACTCTATTCCTGGCTACCAAACCTGCCTGGAGTGTGAAGAACTTGTGTGGTTTGTGAGGCTGAGATGTAGGGTTTGTGTCAGGGGCAGGAAAGGGGTGGTGACAAAAACAGGAGAGGCTGGAGTAAGTAGGATCTTACACCCCACATTCAGGAGGAAGAATCAGTAAAGGGATTTTAGGCAGGGAAGGGATACGTTTGGAAAGACTGCATGGTTGCTGGGAGATGGTATAGGGCAGAAGCAGGAGACTGGGAGGCTGGTGGGAGGACAAAGTCCAAGTGAAAAAATTATAGTGTCCTCAGCCAGAAGAGAGAAGGTACATAGTGGCAGACTCCGGAATCCTTTTAAGAGCTAGGAAAGACCAGACTTAGAAGCCGGGGAAAGAGATAAGGTCTTGACTTACTATGGGGTAAACCAAGTGGGTCACAACTGCTTGACATTTCAGCCAGCAAGCTGCTCATAGGCCAGCATATCCAACCCTCCCCAGTGGCCCCACTGGCCATTTTAATCACCACCGACGACACTAAGGTCCAGATGGATCAGTATTAGGCACCCCAGACCAGCTTTTTGGTGGGCAGAAGGGCTGGGATATCTTCATGAGAAAACACAAATCATCCCATCTCAGAGCAGGTTGGGATCCAATCTCTTTATTGTCAGGGTCCCCTCCCTGTGGCCCCCCGCCAAACCTATAGAAAAAACCCAAGCCTGGGAGTGTCCTGGGGAGGGGAGGCAGTGTGGGGAAACTCCTGTGCTCTACCCTCTGGCCTGGGCAGTGCAGACAGGGAGGGCTCATGGGGAAGGAGTAGGCCAGTAACTCCACCTGCAGAGGATATGGCACTGGCTGGGATGCGTTGGGGGAGGAGGCACCTGCTGCCAGCTTTCCTCTGGTACCCGCTGGGGGGTGGCATCCAGGGTTGGGTGCCCGGCTTGAGGCCTGGGGCAGCGATGCCCTTCACCTGCTGGTGGCCATTGCTCCTGTCAGGCTGAGAGAGAGAGAGACAAAGAAGAGACTAAGGCCGAGAGGAAGAGACCCTGGTGCTAATAACAGGGGTAGGGAAGAAAGGATAGAATGATGTCTGGAGACAGAGATACTCTTGCACTCTGGCTGTGGCCTCATAATTTCCTGGCCATGTAACCTTGGGCAAGTCTCACCTGCTCTTTGAACCTCCGTTTCCTCACCTGAGCCCATGTAACTCACCTGTGAACTATTTTAACAAGCTTTGGCAAGCATCAGGCACAAACGGGTGTAACAGGATGGCTGGATATGGAGGTTTGTTTGCATTCCAGACAAAACAAACCAAGAAGTTCCAAAAGAAGACTGCGGCATATGTAGAATTTTCTAAAGTTCTTCTTGGGGCCTTTGCTGGTGGGATACCTCACTACAGCATAAATGTGTCATCTATCCAGACACCTCCCTGGGAACACTGCTGTTTGAGACCTTTCTCCACCCAAGGCACCCCAAAGGAATGGGTCAGAGAGTAGGCAGAGCTAGGTGTGGCCTGGCTTTCCTTCAAGGTAGGGCAGAGTAGATGGTAAACAGTGGCCAGAGAGTGGGCTTTGAAGCCTAACACCACTGGGCTGAAATCCAGGCTCCACCAATTACTACCTTATCTCCCTGCCCCCGTTAGTGTCCGTTTTTCACATCTATTATATTGGTACAATCATCAGCTTGTGGGACTGATGATGAACTCAGAGAAAGCAGGTGTAGCTCCTGTCATACAGGGCATTTCCTCCCCATGAAAGAATCAAATCCCAGCCCCTAAGCCTGACACATACGGTCCTTCACAATCACCCTCTGATGCTAAGCAGAGTCCTATACCAACTAGCCGGGCACTGCAGCCACAGGAGGCTCTTGGCCTCACCACATACCAAAGACTGTCACAGCTCTGTACGGCTAAGGCCATTCCCTTGGTGTGGAACATTGCTCCCTCAATCACTAGCAGGCTCAGCTACACATCATCTCTTCCATGACCTGGCCTCGCTCTATTGTTATCCTGCTCACACTAGGTGGTAATGGCTCATATCTTCCTCTGCCAGACTAGGAGCTCCTCAAGGGCAGAGACAGGCAACACGGCTGAGTGTGCTGAGGGAAGGAACCGTTGCTAGGCGGGCCCAACTGGCCCATCTACGGCACCTGCTTCCCCAGCATGGCAAGCCCTAGGAATGAAGGGGTGTGATGGGACGGCTAGATATGGAAGGGACTTCATTCTTGGGCACAGTCAGTGCTACCAGGCCAGGTATGCTTCATGACACTTCCTGCACAATCCAGGGAAAAAGCAACAACCTCCACTTCACTGCTTCCCCACCCTCTGCCCATCAGGACAGGACCCCTGTACCTGCTTACTGCAAGGCCCCATCATCCGCGTCTGTGTCCTGGCTGTGTTCCTGATAGGGAGGAGGTAAGAGAGACCACACATCACTCACTGTAGCTCTGAGTCCTGCCCTGAGCCATCTGTTCAGAAAAACTTCAGGGTCCAGAGAGCATCTAGAGGACACAGTCAGAAGAGGCAGGAACAGCCAAGGGGAATGACTATGGGACCAGCCAACAAAGCTGGCTTGGAAGCTTGTGAGGGTGGTCTGAGGAGTGAAGGGTGTTCTGGGAGTCGCAGGAGCCCCATTTCTGTGCATAGACAGCCTGCATTGGAGAAGGCTGAAAGCCTTATAGACTGGTGAGCTCCCCATCTCTGGCGGCATCTAAGTCTTTGTTAGGGCCTTTATGGACACTGCTATGCCTGAGCAAATAAGATGAAGGATCAGGCTACACTGAGAGATGAGTTGGGCATAAGGCAGACCTCCTAACTGTCACGGCCATGAGCCCATCTGTTCTCATGATAGAACCTAGCAGTGCTGAAAAGGAGAAAGCTGCAGACCCAGCAAGTCAGTCTAGACTCCAACCCTGGTTCAGTCCCTATGAGCTGATTCCCTAAGCACGCCACTCAGTCTTTGAGTCTCGGTTTCCTCACAGGGTAAAATGTGGGAACAGAATACTCTGCATAGTACAGGGCTCTTGTTAAGGTTATGTGAAGTTAGAGAGTGTGGTCTGGGTCTTGGTGCTCAATGAGAGTTCATTAAGTAAATGAGCAGGAAGTACACAACCCATATCCCACAGACTCAGAGTTTGGTCTACCCTCCCATTCAACATAAGCTCCTTGTCAAATGGCCTCCCGCCCTCAGCCTGAATAGTTCTAGTAATAGGTGGGGAGCTCACTCCCTTATGAGACAGCTTTTGCTTCGTGCTTGAAGAGCAACGGCTTTTAGAAAATCCTCATGTGAAGGTGACACCCACCTCCTGGGTGTGGCCTCCACAAGCCACCCCAGCCCTGCTCTGAAGCTCTGCAGGCCATGTGTGCTCTCTTATGTCCAAATCTCCCCTTCTCCAACTCATGTGGAAACCGGAGGCCAGAATGCACCTGCACTTAGGGGAGGTCTGCCCTAGGCCTCAGTGGGACTTCTGATGGTGTCTGAGATAGGCAAGTGCCCCCTGCTCATTTTTCCCTCTTTCCCCCAGGACCGTTAGAACCCCTGGGAAGGAGAGAAGAGGAAGTTCACAGTGGGGGCAAACAGCTCAGGCTGCCCGTTGCCCTGTTGGTCTCCTGAGAGTAGGAGCGCAGTCAAGTCCCAGTCGTGCCCCTGGCCAGGCCCTCACCAGCTCTTCCTCGCTGTGTGTCAGCAGCCCCTCCTCATCGCCGTCATCTCGGGTCCGTGCTTCTCCCTGGGGCAGGCCTGCCTCAGAAGTCGTGTTCTCTTGGGGGGCTGGTGGCCGGCTGCCGCTACCGCCACCACCGCCGCCACCGCCGCCGCCACCGCCGCCACCGCTGCCGCCACCGCCGCCACCACCGCCGCTGGCACCACCTCCATCACCCTTCTTCTTGCCATCTTGAGGGGAAGGGGAGGAGGAAGGGAGAATAAAACTCAGCCTGGGGCAGCTGTCTAGGGCAGCACCTTAGCAGAAGCTGGCCTCAGCATGGTGAGTGCAGGTGGCTCGGGATCTGCAGGGCCACCCTAGCTCCTCTCTCCCATGTATTATTTCCCCATGCTCTGCCCTGTGCCCTGGTCGCGGAGGTGGGTGAGAATCCTCAGAGGCTGACCTGGATTGGCCTTTTGCTCCGCAGCGATCTGCTCCAAGCGGCTCAGCAGGGCATCGATATTGGACTTGATCTGTGTCAGCTCCGTCTTGATGGCCTGCAGCTCACTGCTCTTTACTGGAAGTGGAGGGGGGACAGGGCTGTCATCTATGGGGCTGGAGGCTTGACAGTAGCACAAAACCTCAGCCCTGTTCTTTCAACCAGGAAAGCAGTTATTATTATTTTTTTCCCTACTCAGGGAAAAGGCCTCCTCCTTAGACTACCTGGCATCCATCCCTACAATGACAGTGAACACTTCTGAACCTGGCTTTCTTTTCTCCCGATATCTCAACTCTGAAAGGGACCCAGGAAAGACAGGAGCACAGGTGTGTATGTGTGGTGTGCTCTTCTGTGCGCACCTGAGTAAGAACATGTCTTCTGCAATCTGAATTCCTGCGTGCTTAGTTAAGCAGTATGTGTGTACCAGAGTGAATGTGGAGTAGTGGGCCTGTGTAGACCCGTCCTTATCCTTCCTAGAGGAAAGATGGCATCATTTCTTCACTGGGCACCATATCCAGCACTGGACCCTCTGTACCCTACCCAACCCACCCCCTCCTCCTAAAACAGCTGTCTCCTCACAGAAATGTATGAAAATACGTGATTGTGTCAGAGCAGCTGAATTGTGGAAGATTTTTTCTTTTATCTATTTTCCAATGTAAAAAAATGTCATTCTATTATTTTGCTAATGATAAAAAAAGATGATACAGTTACTCACACTTGATCTTGGCTGAGCTGGTGGTGATGGCTGTGGAGCGGGCAAAGAGCTTGACAGGTATGTTAGTTTTGACACGCCGGACCAAAGGGACTGTGACCCGGGGTCGCTTCACAGGGACTGCCCTGGGCACTGGCACCGGCGACAGACGGCCCCGGTAGTCGAAGAGCCTGTGAGGGCAGATGGGCCAGAGGCTGCAGCATGGCTTGTGGCCACCAGGCAGGTATTGCAGCTCCAGCTCCAAATGTGTGTGGCTGGTGAGGGGCTGGGAGGCCTGCACTAAACACAACTCTGCAGGCTCCCAGCTAGCCCTGGAGTGAAGAGGAAGGGCTTTCCGGACCCTGATGGCTGTTGGGATCCTCACGACCTCACTATAACCTCTCCAACCATCCAGGCCAAGTAAGGGCAGGCAAGGCAGCAGGTGGTAGTGGTTATACCCCATTCAAAAGAGGAGACATCCCTGGGTCCCCTGACAACCAGGCCTGCTCTATTACATGACCTGACTTCTGCTTGGTCAACTGCCACCCCAACCTCTGCTCCGAGTCTGCAACTCTCAAAGCAGCACAAATCCCCAGCTAGGACTAGAGAGGTATGGGAGTGGGGGTCAACTGAGCCTGCCTAAGCCTCAGTTTCCCCATATGCCAAATGAGGACGGCTACCCAAATTCAGTGTCCACCCAAGGGTACAGCATGAAAGAATTCGGTTAAAAACACACTTTAGAATGTGTTAATAGATGAAAGGTCAGGGTACTGAGACCCTCAGCTCACGAGCCCATGACCTCAGAGGCGTAAGACTGAAGTCTAAGCCCTTTCCTTACTTGACCTCCTTAATCACCACATCCTTCATGCTCCATTCCAGAGACAAAGGCCAGGGGCCTGGGACAGTATCAAGGTCAGGCAGCTCAATCAGACCCCCCAAGGCTCCCAGGCTGTGCATTGCTCCCAACCAAAGTCATCTCCCAGCCCTCTCCCGGAGGGCTTCCTTTCCAGCTGACCAGGCAGAAACTGAGTAGGCTGAGAAGCAGTCTTTCCCACATCTGCTGCTACCACCTTTTTCAGGGAATTGCGGCCATAGGGGGTATACTCCATATCATTTTTCCTGACAACAGCCAGGAAATCTGTCACCACTGGGCCAAAGCCCCATTCCTTGGGGCTCCTTTGTTCAGGGAGCCCCTCCCTGGAGGTGGTGATGGCTGCAGATGGAGAGTCTCTGGGAATGGATCCAATCCCAGACCCTGCATTTCTGCCCCCAAGGGGAGGGGACGGCTCTGGCCTTGGTCAGAATCACTGAACCACAGAATCCCAGAGCTGGAGGAGCCTGGAGAGATCACTTGGTGCAAGTCCATTTCACAAACTGGGAAGGGAATTTGCCCAAGGTCACACAATCCATTCAGTGGCAGAGCTGAGATTAGCACCTAAATCTTCCGACTCCCAGGATATTTCCCACTACATCACACAGTCTCCTGAAACCATTCACAGGGGGTCGGGGGTGAGGGTCGGGGTGGACGACTGATGCTCAGAGAGGCACTGTTCTTCTTGGGCTGCCTGGGATGGGCTAAGATGGACAGAGGGAGAGAAGCAGGTAGGAGGAGAGATTTGAGTTAGTCTCTACCATGATTTCTACTCAAGAATGTGGCTAGTGCTGTTGTAGTGGGAGCCCACAGCCTCCGGGCTGGAGTCTGGGTAGGGCTTGGGAGTAGAGGGTAGGCCACAGCCCATCAGGGACTAATCAGACTTCCAAACGGCTGCTGGCCTCTTGTCTCTAAATCTAAACCCAAGAGGCTTAGACTGAGCTCTGGGGTTCCTACCAGCTGCTTGGGTACCTCACAGAGGGAAAGGCTCAAACTCTCTGCAACCAGCGCTGTACCCTGTTGTGTATTCCAACTGGCCACATTTATACAGCTCTTGGCTGTACAGTCTCCTTGAGTCTCACCCAAGGACAAAAAGGAAAACAGGTAGTTAGCGTGGTAGACAGTGTGCTATGGCAGTAGGAGCTCTGGCCTGAGTATCTGCAGAACAGGACCCCAGTCTCAGCTCTGCCACTGACTGGTGGAGCAACCCTAGGCAAACCTCTGGGCTTTGGTTCTCATTTGCAGAACTGAGTGGGCTGCACCAACAATCTCTCAGGACCCTTCCAGCTTGGCTGTTTCACGCCTGGGCACGCCCCTCCCCTGCTCACCTGTCGTAGAAGTCGTCCCGGTAGTAATCATAGTCAAAGATGTAGCCACTGGGGAAACAAAGGGGAGAGGGCTGGAGCTTAGGGACGGCCACTCAGCCCACTTTCCACAGGTCCTCATCTCCAAACACCTCCCCAAGTTCTAGACTCAGCACACTGTCACACCAGCATTTACTCCCTCTGTGGAAAGAGAGAGCCATCCCACCCAGACAGACAGACAGACAGCCCCACCTGTATATGGCAGATGCTGCTCTCTTTAGCCCCTTGGGTCTGTCAGGCTTAGGCTCTCCAGCCATGTTGATGTCTGTGTGGAGGGAGAAGGCAGAGTTGGAATGCTAGCATGACAGTAGTGTGCCCACACCCATCACCCTCATGCACACACACAGCAATTCATGTGCTTACATGGTATACACATGGATTCTGCTCACTGATGGCGCCAACAAAGGTCTTCACACATCTAGTCATCAAACATTAGATTCATATCCAGATATCACATGGATATGCCTGTTTACATGTCCGTACACTTTCAGATCCATCCATACACGCTCATAAACATGTCCTCCCCCACCGCCCCCACACACGTCGAGTATTCCTATACATACTCTGAAATACACTCATGTAAATGCATAATACTTCAAGTACATGGGAACACATACATAGAGCCACCCTCACACACACATTCACATATCCAGGTAAGAAAGTCACACACAGGTAATGTGTACCTTCAAGTACACTCAGTATAGACAACTACCCACATGCAAATGAGCCAATGCACATTCACATGGATGTTCTACCAAACACCTTCATGCCTAGAATAATGCTTACTACATGCAAAGGTCTCAATAAATACCTGGTAAATATATGCATATCTGCTAACACATTCAAATACATTCTCTCTCACACACACACGACACCTATACATACAAAGGTATGCGTCCACGTATCTCCACATGTTCAGTCAATCCATACACTTCTTGTTCAGGAAAAAAACACATATAGATACCCCTTTTCAAACATACACATGTACACAGGAGTAAATGCACAAACATGAACACTGTACATACTTCAAGAGAGACCACTAGCATAGTCATATCACATGGACGTGACACCAAAGCTAAGCGTATTCGCATTGTCCTTGTGCTCCCAGACCCTCCTGCTCGCTCTCAGAAAGGGTTCTAACCTAAGGGATCTGTACCCGGTGTAACAGGCTGTTCTAGGCCATTCTGGTCTCTTTCTCTGGAGAATCTGCGTTTTAACTGGAACTGTAAAGCGTGTCACTAACAAGCTCTGAGAAAGCAGAGATAGGTCAGAAGTGTTTTCCAGAGGCTTCTAAAATTCTTCCCTATAGGGATTAATTTCATAACTACTTAACCATACCTTATAAATTTATAAAATCTCAGAGCAGTGGTACTGGTGAGAGAAACAGAGAAGGGGGTTGAGAACTGGATAGTGATAGCAGCTACTCTAGAGAATACTAGGAGAATATAGCGGAGAGAGGCTTACCCAGGGTCTGCCCGGCCAGCACCCGCCCATTCTCTCCCAGCACAGCTGCCCGGGCATGGCGCTCGTTGGAGTACTGAACAAAGGCATAGCCCTTGTGCACAGAACAGCCGGCCACACGGCCATACTTAGAGAAGATGGTCTCCACATCTGACTTCTTCACCAGAGCTGTGTTGAGGTTTCCAATGAACACTCGAGAGTTGATAGACTTGGGGTCATTCTTGTTGGTTACGTTGCTTGCCTGCATCTTCAAGGACATGGTGCCTACCTGAAGAGAGAGAGCCTCTGTGAAGTTGGGTCCCTGGGCTGGGCTCAAGGACTGCCCACGGCCCATATATCTGTGAAGTTGGGTCCCTGGGCTGGGCTCAAGGACTGCCCACGGCCCATATCCTGGATAAATGAATTGCCTCTTACCCTCCTTAACCCTTATAGCATCCAGCTTACCTGTTTCTGCATCTTGTTTTCTTGTCATGTTACCAAGAGTTGCCACATACTGGCTGCTGACCTCATGCCAGGTGCTTTACATATATCCCCTCATTTGGTACTCACATGATATGCAGAACCACAACATTTTACAAGGGAGAAATCTCACATTCAGAGAGGCCACGATGCTAGTGAATGGCAGGGCTGGGATCTGACCCCCTCATCTGCTTGACTCTAATTCTTCTAAGTCTACTTCTTTAATGCTCATCTCAAATGTTATTCCATTCAGGATCTAAATCTGAAGATCTTCAATGTAGAACCATGGTCACATGGTATTTGCAAGTGATGTTTACTCTAGACCACCACATGATAAAAACTGCAGGGTCCGGGCGTGGTGGCTCACACCTGTAATCCCAGCACTCTGGAGGCCGAGACAGGTGCATCACCTGACAGGTGCATCACCTGACAGGTGCATCAGGAGTTTGAAACCAGCCTGGCAAACATGGTGAAACCCTGTCTCTACTAAAAACACAAAAAATTAGCCAGGCGTGGTGGCGGGCACCTATAATCCCAGCCACTTGGGAGGCTGAGGCAGGAAAATCGCTTGAACCCGGGAGGCAGAGGTTGCAGTGAGCTGAGATTGTGCCACTGCACTCCAGCCTGGGTGACAGAGCGAGACTCTGTCTCAAAAAAATAAAACAAAGAAAAGAAAACAAAACTGCTTAGTCTGATCCAGACACAGAACTGTCTGGATTGCTACCAGCCATTTTGAAAAGCCTGATATGGTTTGAATTTGTGTCCGTGCCCAAATCTCATGTCTAATTGTAATCCCCAGTGTTGGAGGTGGGGCCTGGTGGGAGGTGACTGGATCATGGTGACTGAAATCATGGATTTCCCCCTCGGTGCTCCTCTCGTGATAGTGAGTGAGTGCTTGTAAGATCTGGTTATTTAGAAGAGTGCAGTACCTCCCACTGTCTCTTTTCCTCCTGCCCTGGCCATATGAAGACGTGTCTACTTCCCCTTCTCCTTCCACTACAATTGTAAATTTCCTGAGGCCTCCTGAGAAGCAGAGGCCTGTACAGCCTGCAGAACTGTGAGCCAATTAAATTTTTCATTATAAATTACCCAATCTCAGGTATTTCTTTATAACAGTGCAAGAATGGACTAATACAAAGCCTCGCCAAGTACTCACTGTGGGCTAAGGGTGGCATACAATACTGAATAATCCCAAGATCCCACAAGTGAATGTCGTGATTACTCATATTTTACCAGAAATTAATTGACAAGTTCATTAACTTACTAGTAAGGAGCATTCAAACTCAGGTCAGTCAGTCCCTAAAGTCTATTTCTTTCAACTTTATCATTTTGCTTCCCAGAACTAAAGCCAATTTAGATACCACAGAAAGTCAGCACATTCACCTGAGAATTACTTTTAATAAATTTATTTTTTAGTTACCCATATTAATACTAACTCATTCAAATATTTTTCTGTTTGGCTTAGACATAACACTGCACCTACCCTTTGCTCTCTATATTCTGGTCAGGTCTTTTACCTCAAAGGGCTGTACAAATTTTTCCCTCCAGTTTATGGCTAGGCATAGGCACCACGGGGAAAGGGAAAAGGAGAGAAGCTCAGTTTCAGTAGGAAAAGCCTAAGTTAAGCCTTGGCATTCGCGGTTCCCGGCCCAGTCTTCTGCTCATGGGTGTAGGTTGATGCCGCTCCCTTTTGGAACCCTCCTCTCTCAATAACCTAACCTTGGGACCATTTCAGGTGATAGAAGACTCCAAAGAGCATATATAAAAACTTTCATCAGTCTGCCAGACTACTTACCTAATATGTTGGGGGATTTCCTTTTCAGTGAACTGGAAAAAATAAATCTGTATCTCTTATCCCACTAGGGGATAAGAGACTTTTCTCCTAAATCCTCCCTGCCTGGAAGCTGGCATGTTCTAACCAGCAGGTGGTACTGTTTACAAGGAAATCATAGGCTGGACCTGAGCCCAACTTGGGAAGAAACTGCTCCTGGTGTTAGGCTTACCTAATGGACATACTGGAGTCAGGAGTGCATTATCTCACATAAAGAAAAGGGGCTGAGAGGGTCCCATCACTGCTACTGATGAAGGGGCTGGTTCCAGCTTTGGAACTGACTTGGAAAGAGACAGACTCTGGTTAGTTTACCTGTGGTTCCACTCATCTACACTTGTTAGGCAGTGAGGGACACAAAGAATAACACACTGTGCATAGCATACGAGGCAGGAAATGCTCACTGCTTGTTGTTCCCATGGGCTTGCCATTCCTCACAGTTCTCGCTGACAATCCCTCTCCTACATGGATGCCGAGCCATTCAAGGGTTAATTCTTTGTCTATCCATGGGTATACAAGAAGTTAACAGGGCCCCTGTATGGGCATCAGATGATTCTCTCCTAGGTACTTCAGCTCAAAGAGCTACAGTTTTGGCCCAGGGAGAAGCCACCTGCTTTGCCTAGAGGGAGTCAACCAAGCCCGGGGTGTGGATGGAGACAGAGTGACCTCTACTGGGAGCCACAAGCACCACTGAGCAGGAAGCATTTGCTGAACAGCTGTTCATGGTATTGTGACAAGATCAGTACTCACCTCCCTGACTGACGAGCCAAGTTTTTAAGGTTTGGCTCTGCCAGTCTTTTCTCTCATTCCCTGGGGTTTGGAATGATGCACATAAAAGGACTTTGCAAACCCTAAAGTCCTTCACAAGATCTTGTAATTACACTGGCTTGCACCTCTTTATTCCAATACTGCCACCTGCAAGCCCCATTCTAGATGAGGGTAAAGGTCAGAGTGGAACTCATTCTGTATAATGCCAAGGAGGGGCAGCCAGAAGCCATGGCATATGAACATCAGTTTTCTGATCTGTAGAGGAGAGACTTGGGAAGTGTATGTATGTGGTTGCAAGTGCTGCTCTGGGTGAGAAGTCTGCAGTTAAAAGGAGAAATGCTCACCTATGGCATGCTCTAGGCACCCAACCTCTGAGCTCCTCGTCTCAACAGCCCCCTATCCACTTTCATGCCCTGCACACTCCTCTGGAAGCAGGATGCGCAGGATGTGCTACTGTTGTGTGGACTCCCTCAGCCCAAAGAGACAGGTATCTATGGGGGTGTGGAAAGGCTTGAGTGACCACACACATGTTGATGAGGCTCCTCTAAGTGAGGAATAGAATTGGGAAAGGGAATGAAAAGGAGGTGGGGCCAGACTAGGTCTCCCTGAACTGCCAGGTTCAGGTACAGAATCCTAACGAGTCCAAGAATTCTAAATTTAGACATGGTATTCCAAGTTGTTAGGGACATCACAATTTATTAGCTTCACTTAGAACCTTCAAATGTTTAAACATATGGTACATGGGTCTCTATTTGTACTCTTGTTACTCTGCCCTGCAAATGTTACAGGGCAGGCCTGACAAAACTTGAGGCACAGTAAGTGTTCAATCAATATTAGGGAGGGAGTGGACATATGTCCCAGGAGGTGGTGAGGTGGTCTAGCTGTGGACTGCCTTAAGTGGTTAGGACCACTGGGGCAGAGGTCCCAGATACCTTTTTCTAATGTTTGACCCAAATACCCACCTCCACAGACCAACTCAATCCCTCCCACCCAATTCTTGCTATGCTTTTCAAGGCTTCCCCCTAGCTTAGAGTGGCAGCTCTAGAAAATATTGACATCAATTCAGCAGGAGCTACTTGACTTGGTAAGCTATTTCCTGCCCTGGGCCAAGCTCTGCCTCTCAGATTAGCTGTGTAATTGAGAGCAAGGTGTCTGCAGCCCCCAGGGGTCCTAGGTTTAGCAATGAGCTGAAGAGAGGTGGGTAGAAGGACTGTTCTTGGTGGTTGGAGGAAGGGAGAGAAGTAAATTTGTTCCTAGAGACTTCTGCAATGTCAGATGAGGACAGACCTGTGTGCACATGGAGTTTATAAATGCTCTCACTCGGAGGAACGGAAGTTTTACCCACAGTAAAAACTTGGCCAGGACGCCACGGCTAGTGAGTAGCAGAGCCAAGACTAACCCATGGGTCCTCTGATGCTAAGTCTAGGGTCCTTATATTCCATTTTTCATTCTGGGCTGGTGAGAGACAGGCCCCAAGACAGTGAGGAGCTGGGAGAGACCACAGTGTCTCAAAACAAAACAAAACAAAACACCATGTTTGAGAAAACTGGGGACTGGCTCCCCAATAAGTGCCTTCACCTATACCTGCAGGAGAAACAACTGCTGCGTAAAAGCTGGGCCTTTTAAGTTAATTAAAATCCACTAGGGACACAGGCTTTGAAATGCAATTTACAGCTCAAAGGGACGGGCCTGCTCCTCTAGGCTAGTAAGAGCAGAAGAAACGTGGCAAAAACAAATTCATTTTTTTCCAGTTGAAATATTTCAGCTGGAAATTGTTTTTGAACACAGGAGAGCCAAGCCTGAACATGGAGAAAAGTGACAGGGGTTTGCAAAGGTAGAAAAGTCCTAAAAGTTACCTCTGAACTTTGAGTAAATGAGATACCCAAAGAGCTGTCACAGTAAAAACAGCCACTGGCTTGGCACAGTGGCTCACGCCCGTAATCCCAGCACTTTGGGACGCCAAGGCGGGTGGATCACTTGAGGTCAGGAGCTCAGGACCAGCCTATCTAACATGGCGAAACCCCGTCTCTACTTAAAAGAAAGAAAGAAAGAAAAAAAAAAAAGCCAGGCATGGTGGTGTACGTCTGTAATCCCAGCTACTTGGGAGGCTGAGGCAGGAGAACTGTTTGATCACGCCACTGCACTCCAGCCTAGGCGACAGAGCAAGACTTCCCGTTTAAAAAAAAAAAAAAAAAAAAAAGCCACTAATTACT